AGGATTTCACAATCCCACAGGTTATTCGTTTTGATTCAGCAGACCTTGTCAGCTTTCATTAACTGGGACGGGGTTGTAAGATTATATGGATAGACCGAGGGGGGAATAACTATGGTTCAAAACAGGTGTGAAAGACAGTATGATTGCCATTTCTTGGGCGACCAGGCCGTTTGGATACGCCAAATTGCTGACGATTTCGATTGGAAAGTGAAATAAGATGCATTTCGGTCACTTCTGGCTTCCTTGTTTGGTCTAGCCAAATGCACATACAAATAACCCAACCAGACGGCTGTTAGATTCCCTCAAATATCACTAAACCAAGGAAGGCACTGCCGAGACAAAAATGACCACAAAATTGATTCTGGAGGGATGAGAAGAAATGCGTTAAGGACCACTATGTCTTGTGAGGGGGGATCGTCGGTATGGAGATGATGAGTCAGCCCATTGAACACGGAATAACGGCACCCGCAGACCATAATTCGGATGGCTCCGATACAACTGGTTTGCAGCTCACGCATACTTCAGTTTCATTAAACAAGGTTGTGCAGAATGAACGGTGACCTAGAAGTTTGCGCCGCTAAGACTGAGCAGAGAAGTTAGTTAGGCATGCGGATGAACAGCACTTCCGCTGACAGTATTAGCAAGTCGGCTGGCAGAGTAACGGTCATGCCACCCACGAACGACGGTGTTGTAATCGCAGGCCTTAGCGACTCGGATTCAACAATCTATCCAAGTACAAGTATCTGTAGTTACTGTGAATCATTAATTTTAGTAGGTATGTGGTGGCATAACAACTGCAGCCCGTCATGTCTGAGTCCTCTGTGTGCCTACTAGGCCTAACTATTGCAACATGCAAGTGCATCAGTTTGCAAATCGTCGTTTCAATAGGTACAAAGTCGTTTGCATGAAAAGGAAAGTGCACATTTGTTTTCATGAGAGAAGGGGGACGATTTCAATGGCAAACCTCTGCCCAATAGAAATTAGAAAATGTATTAAGGGAGTTTAAACTGCCTTTTTCCAACAATATGTTTCCCGGATCCTTAGAAGTTTAGAACAAATGAGCCAAATGTGTGCTGTTTAAAATTATAGGCCAGATCCTAGTCGAATAACTTCGCAAATTTGGAATGGACGATTAACCCGTCCAGTCTCAAAGCTGAGATTTCAAAATATTCGAACCTATGGTGGAAGGGCATTCAGCGACCGGTATATATTACAAGTCGCTATGCCACTGCCTGCAAGGGCTCTAGATTGAACCCTAAGGCACAACGAGACGATCACGTCCCATAACCTGACCGGTGAGTGTTTTTCTCCCATAGAAAATACTTTCGGTTACAACCGACAAGGCAACAAGTCCGTGGCTCGATGATAGAGCGCTGGACCGGATGAAGGTGGGTTCGAACCTCAGGTCGTGCAAACTTGGGCTTGAGTAAAGCTGGCTGACGACGCCTTACAGGTCGGAAATGGTCATCCCGGTCTCGCTTAACTTTCTCGGTACCTGTGGACCAGCGTATTTGGTCGGACATTGGAATATGGACCTCAAAGTACTACAGGTAACATCGTGCTAAATCCTATAGGGTTCCCATTCCTCTGTCCTAACTTTAGCTTTAACCCTAACGCCAACCCTCATAAACCTAATTCTAATTATAATCCAAATCCTAACTCGCTTAGCCCTAGCTCTGAACCCCTTGCAATTTCTGGAAGGTCAGCGATAATACGGCAGGGTTCATACTCCTGTTCCATACTGCATAGTTAGATCTGGTTAGAAAACAGGGGGGTAGTGTCAGGCCTTAACGACGGGTCGGGAATGTAGCCGTCTGCTGGGTCGGTATAGTCGATGTGGTACCTGCAATTTCTTTCGACGCAAAATTCGGCCCAGAAATACATGGCATTTTGAGTCGCCTTTCGTCGGTATGTATGGTCGTTTATTTGCTACACGAGAGAGCAGATTGAAATTTGACCAAGGCGAAGGTTACGATAAAAGCAGAGTCCACACCTCACTCGAACCTAAGTCGTCACGTGGAGGACGCCTTGACGTCATCCAATGACAATCCGATATAACGGAAGTTCTGAGCTCAGAAGGCTGGTTTCGATTTGCAATCCGAGTCGAAGAAGGCGGCAGTAGACATCATTGGGGTCCCCATTCTGCGGGGTGTTGCAATGACCGAGTGCCTAGGGACCTTGCAGTTGCTCGTCAAGACAGTTCGACGCAATCACAGGAATGGGGCTTTCCTTCTACCAATCCAGGTAAATGCCGGAAAAGTCGGCTAGAGAAGACTGCAAAAGGTATTAGGCTGAAGTGCCGACCTTCATGCAGCAGGCCACAAACATGCGTGACACTCAAAAGCTCTACCAGACTATTCGCCTCTGAACTGAGTGGCAGTACTGTTAGTGATGTGAGTGGCGATTTCCCTGCTGTCAACTCAGCCAAGGTCAGAAGCTGGCGGGAGCACGTCCACTACCTTCTCAATTTTTATGACTAACTCATCACCCTCTCACTCCTATGGAGCGGAGTTTTATCCCTCACTGGTCTATAATACTGTTGTCTGATTTCCGTTCTCAGGAAATCATCAATACAATAGAGGCTGCGCGACAAAGCAGCGCCAGCGTCCAGGTTCCAGGAGGTAAGTGATAGGCGTGTGGAGGTGATGTCGCGCCTGGTGACTGGAGCTCAGCCTGTCTTTAGGAAGGGAAATAAGACAATAAGAGTACTACTGCGACACAGATCTCAATTTCAGGCGGTTTCGGAGGGCGCGCGGCTCTGAGATGAAGCCCACATATGCCGGATTCAGATCTGGACGTGGATGCCCCGACCAAATATTCATAATTGCGGTTCATTCATGCACCCCTCCATGGCTACCAACAACACACGCCGTCCGTTCTGTTGGTTTCGCCACCGCGCTCGATTTCGTTCATCTTGAGTCCCTAGGTGCGCAGTGCAGCTAGACGACACGTTGACGAAAATCCCGCAGTGATCGAGACCCCGCATCATTCCACCACTAGACGTGTAATGCTTCATAACAATTTCCAAGATAGATCAGTGAAAGACACTACCACATGACCTCGAGTATTCCCAATTGGGCGCCGAGCCTGGCTCCATTGTGTCTGGGTTGGGATAATGCTGCCCAGAGTGAACCAAAAAGCCAGAAATGGCCACCTCAGTCTTCCTCATCTCTGTCAATAATCCTTTTTGGTTAGAGAGAAAGTCCATAGATGCGACTCGGCTACAGCCACGATCCACTCATTCCTAAACGCATAGAAGGGACCTAGTTGGCAGGGATCTTCCGATAGAGCAGTTAGAGTCACATCGTTCGACGAAATAACTCTCTACTAAAATCCCCTACACCAGAGATGGGGGAAAGACATACGCAGAATGTGTTAAACTGGCGTGATAGGCATATTTACAGTCCACAGAGCCTATTTAAATTCGTAAGTGTCCTAGATGACAGGCCGTAGGTGTTCCTGTGCGGACAGAGTAGCTTCAATTGCCGACCATTTTTAGACAGAGTACAGGAATTCATAAGCATTCAGTTAGGCTGAAGCAACTTGGGCGTCGCAAATACAGGAAGTTTGAAGGAAGAGGTGCAGCCACATAACAGAATACAGGAAACTGTAGAAAAATAACTCTGATCGCCAACATACGGACAAGAGAAAAACGGCAGATTGAGGTCGACCGGTCAGACACAGGTATTCCTGAAAAAGAGAAAACTCTTCGGAAAATCGAGTTGTACTCTTAAATATTCAAGTCGGTGACACCAACCAGTCGTCAGACGAAATGAACAGAGGAGGAAGTGAGATCGGGTCGGTGTTAACGACTTGAAAATTTACGACTACAACTCGATTTTCCGAAGAACCTTCTCTTTTTTATTATATCACCTCGGAATGCGCACCACATCAGTTATTCAACAGGTATCTCTATCTATGGATCCAAGAAATTCGTTGAACATCTGCCCAAAATCTTGAATGCCAGGCAAAAAATAAAATTATGCTGAAGAGACTCGAGGGCACACATATGAGACTGACACTGTGGCTAGAGCGATTCGGTTTCCATGATCTAGTACACGCCAGCACGCCTACACAGCCATTAACATGCCGCACGATCTAAAAACGGTGCAGGCGCGCAGGGCGGACGAGCAGCCAATGAGATCGAGGCGCAATTGAATTCGGCGAAAAATAGATGTGCTGACGGCGGAGACGTTGGAGAAAGCTAAACCAGCCAACTAGGCAGAAGAAGGCAGCATGAAATCGGTAGTAGTGATAGAAGAGGCAGTGGCGTACTCGTCCTTGCCAAAAAAGCGCCGTCTGCCTACAATCCTTATTGGAGCCCGGGTGGACAGATTTTACAAATATGATAACGGATAGTTGAAACTGAGTCTCCAGGCGTCATCAAGTGAGATGCTGTCGTTGTCATGACATGGACGTATCTCACAAACACTATGATGGTGGACACTAAATGGATGAAAACTCGCTTTGCGAGACCCCGTGCCTGAAATAACGAATAGATTTCATAGAGGCAGATGAAACGCGATCATCAGTGCGAATATAAACAAGACTTCATTTAACGTCTAATTATTAATGTACGCACAGGTAGAACCTGGAATAACTGCATGCGTTTCTTAGTACATGCAAGGTACTAGAGTGGAATAGTATTTTCCGTCGTCTGCGATCGCCACTATTGTCGAGAAATTATCGCAAAAAACCGAAATCACACAGATTTTTGCGGAAAAGTATTGTGTGGGACCTCAAAGAGGGTGGATGGTGCAATTAAATAAAAAAAAGGCAGCTTCTGAAAAGCCGTGCTCCTTACGAAAGTAATCGAATGCACAGTCAATTTGTTCATCGGAGAGACGAAGATTGGGAGACGATGGTACATCCCTAGCCAAGGAGTCCTCATCAGGGTCCCGTTCCTCGTCCTGCATTTCAACTTGTGGGATGAGAGCAAAGTAGAACCGTGTTGCGAAAGTCTGTCTTTGCAGGTGAAACTACGAAGCCGTACAATCAATTCATATCGGAGTAACTGGAATAGAAAGAAAGAATCGCTACTTAAGCATCGTAATGCCGGAGCTGATGACCGGGTGTAACGAAATGCGAAAAGGGTAGCTAAAACAAAGCAACAAACAAACTCTCTTACGACATGGGGCCAGGACGAATTCCAAAAATAGGAAAACTTGCCTGTGAACAAAGCGCTGACCTTTGTTTCGCCGCATTTGTGAGCAGAAAAAATAAACAGGTTGGGGTGTCCAAAGAAGGACGCCTTGGCACTATTTTAACCTGCCGTGTTCAATCACACAGAATGGCAATGCTACATTCTTGAGGAATTCATAATAGAAGATATTGCCTCCACTGACAAGTTACCAAGTCGGATCTTGCAAATCCTGCGTTTCTCCAGTACAGTGAGCCCCAACGCCTAGACTGGATGAACTACTGTTCAGTGGACTATGCTCCTGGGAATAATGTGCCTACGGACTATAAATACTATAGAAAATCAGCTCAGTACAAGCGGCGCGGTCAACCAGTACATTCGTCAGTACTGTCAGAGGCACCTCTCTTGTTAGGGTACAATGATTATCAAGTACTAAATGCATGCAGCAGAGATTTCATCGGTGACATACAGGGTGCAGTTGCTAAGCCTCATTGACCGCAGACTGCGGTTAGTTTGCTTGGACCCTAGTTGTGACGGTTACTGTACGTCCATGCGGACACGTGTGTTGTAGGCCTGAATGGCGGTTTATGTCAGGTTGGCCACGATGTCCACACCCATTTCCAGTCGTCTCGACCGTATTGCCTGGAACGCAATGATTGTAAGAGGAGCCAGAGAGTTCGGTGTCACAGTAACCTCTCTCATGGTAATTCGACTTACGCACAAGTCCTCACTGATCCATGGGCAGCAAAGGTTATCGTCGTCATCGTCTGAGGCTGATGAGAATTCGCATACCAGGAGCTACGCTCGCCGGTCTAACGATTTGGGCTGAATCATAAGAGCCGGATTCTATTTCAGCAATTTTCCCGTTTTTGTATGCGCCTGCTACCGAAGGGTATCTTTTCATGTAAATGCCTACCGTTGACGTCGGTACCATGAGTCCCCATTGTACTGGGGTTTTTTATGTGCGCATCCCCTAAAATGGGTAACGCGACAGATGCGCTAGACGTACACAGGGTCTGGGTCGGGGTCCGGCAGGCGTTATAGGGAATGCGCACCCCAAACAAATGCCAATACCGGAGTGTGCTGTCAGGCCCAGTTGCGGGCCCACGCAGCACCAGTTGAGAGCCGTGCCCGTTCGCCATTTTCTTGGCGTATATAATTCTGGCGCGTGTACCTTGTTGATAACGGGTGGGGTGGTACGCCTAGGTGCGGGTTCCGCTGTGTCAGCCACATGCGTCATCTCAAGCCTCCGGTTTTCATGACACCGGACCCAGGCGGAGAGGAGGGTGCAGTAGATGTTGCGGAAGTCTACTATCACTATAACCTAACCGACGCGAAAATCACCGTCCCTGCTCTCGCCCTGCAATGAAGCACACAGTCGTCGGCCACGGCGGTCGAACTGTCGTTTAGTGTGCGTATGATGGCGCGTGTCACGGAAAACGGGACCGTCTCAGGAGCATTTGCAGTAACCCATGGCGTGAAGCAGGGCTGCGTACTGTCATGCTAACATAAGCCCCTAGCTAAATTCCATCTTATCTCCTACCTCTCTATTTTTCGTCTTAGTTCCAGTAAGTCAATTTTAAGCTGAATAAAGCCCTACTATAGGGTATTCTCGTTCTGATTTTTGCATCTTGATTTGTTCGTGCTCTCCCTCTCGTGTACTTGCTACGGTCCTAGCTACAACAATTTATTCATCTTACAACTCCAGAATGGACCGATCTCTTAGGTCAGAACGATTCGATGTTGATCCGAATGCTAGAGACGCTTTCTAACAGTGAAATCACTGGTTCCGCACTTTCGAAAATTTCTTTTACACGATCGATAGCTTCAAACCGAATAAATTAAGCGTTCTGACTAACTACGTTTCTGCCGACAGTCTGAGAATGCATTAGTGAATGTTCCAGTTACGAAGACGTTAAATTGCTACGAAATCTCTACTCAAGCTCCAAAAAACAAACCTTCACCCGCCATCTCCTGGCAGCCTTCAGACAGGAAGGTGGACAAACCCTCGACCAGTTTGCACAAAAGCTAAAGTCCTTTGCTAAGGACTGTGATTTTAAAGTCGTCAGAGACGCGTTCATCAGCGGCCTTCGTCAAACCAGATTCGACAGAGGTTATTGGAGCATAAGAATTTAAACTTCCAAACCGCCTTTGATCAGGAAAGGCCACTGGAACTGGCAGGACAGTCTCTATCGTATCGAAAGCCTCCGACGACCACATTCTCTGCCGCTACTGAGCCATGGGAAACTTCGCCAAGTCCCATTAAACAGCTTGACCTAGTGGCTTCTATTTCATTCCATAGGAAATGTTTCTTTTGTGGATACGACAGGCACCGCCGTTCGACGTGTCCCCGCACGCGATAAGCTATGCGAAGGACGCTGTAAAACAGGCACTTCCAAAAGGTCTGCCTAGTATCACTAAACCGAGAACCCGTCTTTTCCGCTATGCATCCTACCATTTCCGTCGTAGCACCAGCTTCTGTTCCTATCTTTCAAGCGCAGTGGTTGAATTACAGATAAATGGGACTACTTTTCAGGCCATAATTGGCACATGTAGTTCTGAAGTTACATTTCTTCTTCAAGGGTGCTCCGAAATAAATGGGAAGTTCATAACTCTCGCACTTAGATATCCATAGCGACCACCGCCTTTGTCAGCGCCACGCAGGACATGTTTTTGTCTCTATTAGACATAAAGGCACAATGTACGAGAACAATGTACGGAGATGACTTTCTCCGGCTCCACAAAAGTGCTGAAATCCCTTTTGGTGGACCTAAACCTACGTTCTCGTCTTGTTATGTGGCTGCCTCTTGCGTCGAGCCTCCTCGTTTGTTCCCCAATCTGACACCGGATTGCAAACCTATCGCTACTAAATCTCGTAGACACACCAATATGGATGGAAGATTTATACAAGAAAAAATTCATCGCCTTCTTTCTGGGGGTGTAATTGAACATTCATTATCCTCTTTGCGTGCCCAGGTTTCGGCGGTAGTCAATAAAAACCACAAAAAGCGGAGGGTTGTCGATTATAGCCAAACGACAAACAAATACGCACTTCTTGATGCCTTCCCCTCACCCAGAATAGACGAAATGATTGCAAACTACGACACATATAGCACTCTTGGTCTCAATAGCGCCTATCACCAGATACCCATCCGGGAAGAGGAAAGACCGTACGTTGCCTTTGAAGCTTGTGGGCGTTTGTATTAGTTTTGTCGTATCCAGTTTGGTGTGACCAACGGGGTTGCGTGCATCCAGCAGACTATCGACGACATAATTACGCACGAGCGTCTAAAAAATATCTTCGCTTATGTGGACAATATCCGGTTGTGGGAACGGTCTCGAGGGGCATGATTCAACCTTTCAAAATTCCTTAGCGTGGCCGAAAAATACGGACTAACATTCAATGAAGCCAAAAGTGTCATTGCTACTAAAGAAAGTAAACTTATTGGTTACGAGGTGTCCAGGGGCAACATAAGGCCAGATCCGGATCTGGCATTGTCTACCGACCTGGTAAAGAAAATCGAGCGGTGGACACGCTTTCCCCTAATTGCAGTGGCGCCCTACTAATTAGTGTCGATCTGAAAGAATTACATGAGTCCCTTTGTCGCCCCGGTGTCTCTCGGCTTTCGCATTTTGTTCGAGCTCGGAATCTCTCCTTTTTGCTGGAAGAGATTCGTACTGTCGTGGCTAAATGTCAGGCCTGTTGTAAAGTCAAATCCCGTTTCTTTAAAACACAAGGCCAACTCATCAAAGCCACCCAGCCGCCTGAACGATTGTCACTTGACTTCAAAGGTCCTCTTCCGTCGGCAACCCACAACCGCTATCTGCTGACGATTATTGATTAACATTTTCGTTTCCCATTTGTATTTGCTTGTCCTGATCAGACTGCCGAAACTGTCATCAAATGTTTGTGCCAGCTCTTCTCTATATTCGGTACCCCTTAGTACTTATACATCGATCGGGGATCGTCATTTACGTCAAACGAAGTTCAGCAATTTCTTTGCAATAAGGGAGTGGCGACGAGTAGGAAAAGTCCGTATAACTCCCAAGGGAATGGGCAGGTCGAACGTTTGAACCAGACTGTATAAAAGACTATCGTACTCGCTCCAAAATTCCAAAGTTTGCCTATCACGCACTGGAAATCCGTATTACTTGACGCTTTACACTCAACCAGATCGCTTTTTTGTACTGCCACTAATGCGACACCTCATGAGAGAATTTTTGTCTACAATAAGAGGTCAACCACTGAAACTACTCTCCCCTTGCGGCGTACCTCTCCTGGCAGAGTTCTGCTGAAGGAGGGCAGTCAACAGTCAAAATTTGATTTGCCCGTTGAGGTCGATCTTCTCCAGCTCAACCCCCACGAGGCTCATGTACGACTCAACAGTGGCAGAGATGGAACTATAGCCGTTCGACTACTTGCTCACAGAGGCAAAAAGGATATTGATGATTGTCATCAGGAGACGACCATGCTCGTATGACTGCCCCTTTAATAAACCCGTTAACGAGTTCAGTGAAAGAAATACACCAAGAGACCCAACAGTCAACTACCTACTGGGAGTAGGAGAAAGACAGAATTAAAATCCCCTCCAGAGGCCGATTGAGGATCTATGCTTCCAAAGGGAAAGAAAACTAAGTCATGATTGAATTTGCACTTACGTTTGTTTTGGGTCAATCTTGCTGCACAGTCCGGCGAAACTTGCCTCGGTGAGGAGCAGCGCGCTGAATCACCAGATGCGAGGCTTTACGTATGGATTTGGAAAACGCATCCAAAGCGAGTGACTAAATTTAGCAATTTGCGGAGTATTTTCGCCCGCTACCAGGCGATTGGTCGACATCTTTCACGGGAGTTACAATGACTTCTATCACTCTACTTGAGTTTAAGTTTTGCTAAGTTAGGTTTGGGTGATACATCCAGTCCCCGAACGACTCGGAGGATGCCATTAGGAATTTCGTTCAGGTAAGAAGCATCTCAGTTCTGCGAAAATTCCCATATTACGATTGAAGAGTCAGTTGGTGAACATATGTTTTCGATAACTCATTATCAGGCCGATACATTTACATGGGTAATGAGCATTTTACTGATAGACAAGATATAAATGCGTCTCAGGGGCAGGGTTAGTTGGAGTCAATGTTGCCACACCGCAAGCATGGCGGTGACAGCGTGTTGAGGACGGTTGGATTGTAAGGGCTGTGACGGTTCTCAAGGCAGCAGGACGGCGTGCGGTCACCGTCTGGAGTCGGCCAGGGCAGACAAACTGCTTGTGCCAGCGTCTTCTGGCAACAGAGTGCTGGGTTCGCCAGTCGAACGGCCACTGCTTCAGCTATGGTTAGCATCCGTTTACGCATGCCTTTAGAGTAATGTGCCAGTGCCCTGTAGACAATTTTAAAGGCTTCTTTAGCATCTTCTTGGTGGTCTTTATCGATTAGATGTGCGAGAAGTGAACTCGAAATCGACCGATTTTCACCTCTACCTAGCCAGGCAGGCATGTATTCGCGTATTCTCTTTTGCGTACGCCTCGTTGCACGGCCAATATATCCCGCTCCACAGGAGCAGGTGAATAAATAAATACACATGGATGTGGCCTGAAGGCAAGAAGTGTCCACATACGAAAACCAGATAGTAAACTTATTCAGCAAATAGTTCTCAAAAACTATACGGTGAAGACGAACCGGTCTCCCAATCGACCAAGGGGACACACCGCATCCTTAATGAGATCTGGTTTGCTGAAAAAACTGTCAAAGTAGCTGTCAATCAACTATCGAACGTCAACTTTTATACGACGGACAAAATCCTGTCATGCATTCTGAGGCATATGATATATGCCCCAATACTCCTATCTGAGCTATTCTCCTTACTCCAGATAAGTGCATTTTTTCCAGACGTTTCGAAAGGCGGCAACCAGCCTCATATTTAAAGCTATTGTGGTGTTCACAGAACACCGTCAGTGGTTAAAATCCTGGAGACTAAATTTTTCAACCAATTGAAAGATCACTTCATAAACGCTTACCACATTCCCCCCCTTTCGACATTAATTTCTTTTCAAAGAGTCATGGCAATCCTGCTATCTCACTTTTCTAGAATTTGCTTGTTTGATCGAGACACGGTAGATGCTATATACTCCGACCTAAAATAGGCCCTTGACAAAGTTCCCACAAAGGTCTACTGATAAAGCTGAAAAGTCATGGAATTGGGCCATTCCTTCTCGACTTTCTCAAATCCCACCAAAAAACCGATGTCAAGTGGCGCAGATTCTAAACGTAGTCGCAGAACCCTCCCATATTGCCAGTGTAGTACTTCAAGGTACTACCCTATGCCCCCTTCTATTTCTCATATGTATTCACGACTTATTTTCCATATCAGTTTCCGCTAAGAAGTTTATATATGCGGACAATCTTAAACTCGCATATGTAACAATTACGCATTAAAAGTGTTTCTTTTTAAAACGTACGTATTACCTCTCTTAGATTACTGCCCAATTTTCTTTGGCCTATTAATATCAGATGGCCGAAAGAAACTAGAAGTCATTCAAAGACGCTTTAATAGATCTTTGTGCAAATGTTATGTCACCCAGGGTTCATGCCTAGAACTACATCATAAATACGGCCTTCGAGCCCTCTGGATCAGAAGACTCCAAAATTGTCTAAATCTCCTATTCACGGTCACACGTGACCAAGATATTCTCAAAATAAGTCTGCTAAAAGGCTGAAACTCCCCCCGGAACACTAGGATTAACGAAGATATGATAAGGATTCCCAACTTCAAAAAGTTCCGGCGATCGAATTTCTACTCCAAATGATATAGGACTATCTGGGATGACCTCCAAATTTCTACCTGGATAAGTCGAAACCCAATCGAATTTATGATAAGAACTAAGAAATTCCTTTTAAATAACAATGCACGTTTATTTTTTCAAATCAATTTTTTGATATAGAAGTTGGTCCAAAAGGGCTCTGATATAGCCAGCCACTTCAATGATACCGGAACGTACCATTCGAAAACAACTAAATTTATGATAGACAGCGACATTAATAGGCATAAAACACATGGAGATAGCCCTCCTTTTTCCCCTTTATCGTTTCCATCGCTGGTTTTAAATTTGAAGATAAGTGGAGGATATGATTTTAAGTGGTTTTTCTGTGAGACCTAACGATTTTAGTACCTGTTTTTTGGTTGAATTTCCTTAAATACAGGCCTCTTCTCTAAGAACTGCCTGCTGCCATCTCCTTTCGAGTTCTGCTAGTCTATGTCCATTGTTCACTAATCGCACTCTGCAATTCTCATTTTGTGCATCCGATTTCTCTCTAACTGTTGTAATTTATTTTAACATCGTTAGCCCCTAGTTGAAATTCAGTCAACTTATCTGCCAGAAGTTTTCTTAATCGCAAATTGCCTCGAGACAAGATGAGACCAAAAGTCACTGGTCGACGTAAGCTCTCGGCTCTTGTTAGTAAGCATGGCCTAACTAAACGTAAGTCAGACGCTTTACCTAAATCTAAGCCAGATGATATTACTAGTCAGTCGTCACCCGTTGTAATTGGTCGGCAGCTTAATCTGTCTGCACTTGACCACTGCAATGACTTTATGCGGCAAGACTGAACAACTCAAGACCGGCAAGTGCAACAATTACGCTACTCTGATGATGGAAACGAGGAAGCTTCCGAAACGTCAGTTCGAATACAATATGGTCCATGAATTCGCCCTCTCTACTTCTTCGTCTTCTTCGGGAGATGATGAACGCGATCGATATATATATATATATATATATATCGATTAGATATCTATTTTGACGCAAACATAGATATCTATTAGATATCGATTAATCGAGATACTACGCCATCGGCGAAAAGCGAGGGTAATATGCTACGCGTGGAATCGTTTGCTTAGCCCAATGCCCTTTTCTATCCCCCATCCATTCCTTGTCGTGTGTTTAATCCCCCCTGTTACCCAGAGGTACTTTGGAGATAGTTATTGTGGAATAATTATATTGAAAAGTAAAATAGTTAGATATGTACAATGCTTTGTTGAATCCCTTCCGTGATCACTGTTTTGACAGATGCCGGCAATCAGTACAAGCTCCTGGAATGTTGTCTAAAATGCAGAGTAAGTTTTGATGAACTGCACTCAATTAAACTTGCGTCTTTAGTTTTCTTAGGACGTAGCTGTCCAGCGACTTTTCCAGTCGTCTACATTGTGCTCACCAAGGCATGTGAGGTAGTAGGTCTAACGCAAGAGGGAGTTATAAATTGGGTAGCATACCGATCGGTTTCGGAAGCTATTGTCCATTAGTTGGAAATAACCTTCCAGTGGCTCTCAGTGACATCGATTGTGGACGGCAGTGTTGCCATTTGCTTACATATCAGAAGAAATATACGCATCTGATCGCTAGCTGATGACACTTTTGGAGAAGTCACATTACGGTCGTCTGTCTGGTCGCCCAAAGGGATGGTTTCGAATGTCATCGGCGTTCTCCTGGCGCTCCTGAAAGGTATAACGGCGTTATTTTCCATCACTTACTGGAAAGCCTTGTTTCCATACCTCTTAATACGACGTAATCGTGTTCTCCGGGATTCCTGCCTTAACATGGTTAACATGGAACAGTAACAAACAAGAGATATAAATGAATAATGGCAAGTAAGTGTAAGGACTGTCAACTCACGCGTTCCACGCCGCTCACGCGAAATAATGGCGCGCCTGCGTGTGCGCGCAATCGATAAACGACTAAAGAACGGCAACCAATAAAATGCCAGATTACTTAGGCGAGGTAGCCAATTACGTGATAGACATACATATCTCGATAAATCGCTATTCACGTATATCTACTCGATATCTATTGCTACTAGGGATGATGAAATAACAGAGGCCCAATCTGTAAAAGATTTAGGTCTCAGCTATACAAATACCCTTGATTTATCTCCCCACTGCCAACAAATATCACCGAAAGCCACTCGCCTGTGTGGATTCATATGCAAA